TGTTTGTTAACAAAAATACAAACAAACTGAAGAAAAGAGAAGAACACTGATGTCAAACCAACATGCATTCTCATTCATTATGATTTTGTGCGTGTGTGTGTGTGAAATCTTCGTCTTTTGGTTTCAAAACTACGTGTTGTGGTCTTTCTTATGTATTGCGTTATGAAGGTTTGTGAAAAATCTGTACGTGCTGGAGAAAAATGGATATCATTTTCGGATTCACCTTATAGGAATTACCGTAGAACATATAAAAATTTCAAGACAATAAAAACCATCGCAGACTTATGTAATCCAGTTTGGAGTCTGACAGAAATTAAGTAATTTAAACTTAAATTGTTCTAAGATTCTTAAGTTTAGAGTGAACTTGATAAATTATTTGAATTTCAGCTTTAATAGTTTAAGACATTTTAGAACTTTCCAAACTTTTTCACCCCTTGAGTTTTGTAAGTTTCTGATTTCGTTTTGTTTTTTCACTATGCTGTATCTAAGTTATTTTGAGTGTTAACTGCCATGAATTCTGTAAAAATACTGCAAGTTTCATTCTTGTACTCTCAGGTGAGTCACACTCTGATTTAAAGAAGCGTTGAAAAAAAATCGTCGAGAGGGGTGAAAGCTGACTTAATATTACCATCTGGAATGTGATTTTCAAAGAACGACAACAATTATTATATTATTCACAGTTAGGTCCTGTACCTAATGGCTTATACTTGTAGCTACGACATCAGTTAGTTTTGATCATCTGAGTTAATTGTGGTCACATGGAATGATGTAGAAATTTAAAACTGGTTATCAGTTTATGGTGGGTCTATATATTAAAGAAGTTTCGATATCTTAATTAATAAAGATTCGTAATAATACTAGTTATTTAGTTTCATTCTCGGTTTTAAGTGTTTCAAAATACGACTGAAAGCAAGACTTAACAGCTAGCACGAGATGGGTTAGTATAATAGTTACCACAAACTCCTGAAGTCTGAAGGATTACTTACTAACAAGTTTAAATCTGCAGCTGAACTCTCTACTGACTTTTGAGGTCATTATTTCTGATCTAGTTAGAATTTTGCACCTATAGGGGGCGTTTCTTTTTAGAAGCACAGTTTAGCTATCGAGCTGTCTGTATTCGGCTGATAAGTTTCTTTACCCCTTATTTTTTGTGCCGATTTGCATAACGCTACAAAGACGTACATGTAATACCTCATAGTGGACACTCCATGCTAGAGTCGGTAGAACAGTAAAGATTTGTTAATTTTATTACGAATGGAACCTGTTTTCGTGTGCTGTGTGCACGTCAATGTGAGCGATTTATTTTTTGTTAAGAATTTTTTTTTTTTAGAAATTTTTAAGCTATTTATTGATTACTTGCGGAAATAATCCGACGCTTTCTTTTCTTGTTCAAATATACACACTATATTTGGAGCCTTTCCAGTGTATTGATATTCACTTTAGTTTAAGGCAACACTTTGCATTAAGAGCTTGATTTTCGAAAGGGAAGAAACATGAATTAGGTAAAATGTCTTGTTGGTGATATTAATTAGAAAAATGTCTCATGAAAAATCGTACATATATTCAGTACACACAACGTCATAAACAAACTACTGTCCCACAACAACATTTCAGCCGAGAATGAGCTCGTGACTATTTGGTGGGAAATGTCTTAAGTTTGCCAGTGATTTAGTCTTTGGGTTCAAACTATATTTACTATGCAAAAAAAAAAAAAACCTAATCCAATTTCAACGAAATTTCTGATCTAGACATGGCATAGTGAACGCATCCTGATTTTTCAACAAGAAAACTAAGTGTGATAATACAATCACATTTTTGTGTAAAGGAGCATACATCGCAGAAAATGTATAATTATAGGCGAAATAAATGGTATGATGGAAGATTTCGGTAAACCGGTGTATAGAAGTAATTTCTCTACTGGATTTCAAAATAAATATTTGTTATATTATTCTAAATTTCTGCTATTTTTTTTAAAAAGTACTGACAAGTTTGAGATAACTCGAATTGGAAATATCGTTCGTTGGATTAAAGCGAGTCGCAAAAAAGTGTCAAGTGGGTCGTAGTAAATACACAGTACTGTTAAGGCATTCAATGTGTATAGGTTTGTTGGATGAGGGGGCCAGGATGCGGAATTCTTTGGGGTCTTGTGCTGAGGACGTGTGGGAATTCCTTGGTTAAATCATCAAAATTAGCGCTTTTAGATTTCTTGCACAATTTGTTCTTTAAAGATTTATGCTTATTGCTTACTTTATTGGTTTAAGCAGGCGTAAGTTCACACTTCATAGTTTTTATGACTTCAACTCAGTTTTTAATGTGTGTGTATAAAATTATTTTGAAGTTTTTGTTTTGTTTTTTTCCCAACAGGATCACAGACTTATTATAGATAACTTGAAAAAAATAGAATAGTTATTTCTACCACAAGTTTTGTCAGAACTGATTCATTATCAGTTTTCTGTGTTCAAATTCCAACTATTGTCTCGCCTGTACTTGAAACTCGAGCAGACTAGTGTCATCACCGTCATGGCAACTTCCATGAAGATTATAGTAAAAAGTGATATTGGGGTGTCCTTGGGTTACAAAAGTCACTTGTTCAGAGGAGCACGTGGCTTTCGCTCCCATTCGAATACAAGCCGTCAACGAAAGTTCACATCTAAGCTCCGAGTGTTCGGCAAGCCTGTAATAACTCACTCACGGATTGAAATGGCGTTCCATCTGTTGAACAGAACAGGCCTACGTTTTGTGCAAGAAGGAAAGAAAGGGTTAGCTTCCATACGAGATAGTATTACGAGGGATTTGCAATCGAGTTCCATAAAGAACGCATATTCGTATCGTAGTGAACTCCAATCCTCCAAACGAATTGTAGTTAAACTTGGATCAGCCGTTATCACTCGGAAAGATCAGTCTGGTCTGGCTCTTGGAAGACTTGCTTCAATTATTGAGCAGGTAATGTATTTTTCACCACAATGAACATTTCTAAAAAAAACAAAGCGATAAAGTACAGTTTGTTAAAATATAATACAAAGCCAAAAACTTAAAACATCGACTGGAAACCACAGTTCACTCTTCGAATTCGATATTATCCAATTGGTCAGGATGTTCGTTGTATTTACTACTTTTAAATAAGAGATGCTATTGGTTTCGTAGAATAATGTCCAAAACTAACCATGTTACGATAAAGTTTTGGTTTGAAGCTATTTTATTTCGTAAAGGAAGTACTATGTGAACCAATTTTCATGGGTTCGGCTGAATTATGGTTTCGAATCTTAAAAGGAGATTTTGAAAATTTATTACAAACTTCAATTAGAAGATACAGTGTTATAGTGATGATCTAATTTCATAAGTTAGTTGTTTGAGCATATTATTATCATCATCATCATCATCATACACATCTATCTAAAGACAACATCATATAATTGCACAGCAACGAAGACAACACAGACGCAATATTACGATTGTTCGTATATTTAGCTAAATTTCTACGGTAGAATAAAACCTGTGAATTATAAGTTTATTTCGTGAAAATATTATTTATAGAAGAGTTCATCATGTCAAGTGCTTGATTTTCTTTAAATCGGTTGTTTACACGAAAACCATACGTTTGTTCCGCGTAGAACACGGTATTATATAACATTAACATGTTATATAATAACAGACTAAAGTAAATGTGACCAAAATACTGTTATTTAATCAAAAAGTTGTACAAGCTTTTTGGTCAAATAGAAAAGGTCACTAAGTACAATCTAATAACTTAGTTTTCTAAGTACAAATATCTTAGGAAGATACTATTGAGATACGGGGTCTTTATAAAGTTTTTCTTGAGTGCTCGAATATTAATGAAATTAGTAATATTCGCCCTATACAAGTTCAAACAATAATTTTTAATGATTCTACTAATTAGACCATGGGGAAATGCGAATTAGTGGCCACCAGAGGGTGTTACATCTGCTGACTGTCTATGGCCCTTGAAGTCGACGATGAATGATCTTAGAATGACGTAATAAGCAGCTGAAGGAAGCTGTCCAATATTTAATTGCTGGTTAGTAAAAATCATAAATAATATTACTCCTGAGGATGACGTTGTAACGTCGAAACATGTAGAGTCGTCAACTTCTTGAAGGCCATAGATGGGCCTAAATAAAATGTTTTTAATTGTGTACCAGTCCAACTTTTAATATTATTTATGATTTT